CTCTCTGCCACGGCGAATGCAGCAGCGGTTGTTGATGGAAGCTGGCATGCCGCTCCAGTGGTTACTTGGAGGGTCGGGGGACTTAGTATTTTGGTAATAAGTAGACTTATAAGTACCCTAACAGGGAGCCTAATTGGGGTTATGATACTTATAAGTCTATAAAACAGCTACTTTCTAAGTCCCCCGACCCTCCAAGTACTACGGGGAGGTGTCGATAAGACTCAACTCTGGACGCCCTCCTCACGCGAGGTCGATGACTAGGATGCCCAGTAGTACCCTTATTCCCTTTTTGTAGTCCTAGATCCTGAAAAAAAGTTACCCAATACCAAAAAGAGATGCCTTTTTATTCTTAGCTTACTGGGTATCCTAGATGATGCCATGTCCCAGGTTGAAGGTTTTTCGCGCGGGCTCCACTTTGTCAGCGCTCCCAACTTCGGTTTCCATGCGCAGAGACTCCAATATCCCTTAATTAAGGAGTATACCTTAACTTATAGTAGGATCCTTAATATGACTTAAGGCATATTCCGTAATTAAGGGATATTGGAGTCTCCGGGTGAGGCAACCTTTGTCAGTGAGTGTAGATACCGCGCAGTGGGCACGGAGCTTGCCCCGGCTCCCGGCCACCCGGGCAATTGGCCATTTTAGGGTTTAGGGTTTAGGGGTTTAAGGTTTAGGGTTTAGGGGTTCAACCTGCTGGCCCACCCTGCATCGGCGGTCATCCAAGGCATTCCTGCCCATCCACATACTATGCCACTATGCTATATCTGCAGCGGGGCTCAGGGTTTTGGGTTTACTATTTCGGGTACCTACATTGCTTTTCTCCTTGGTTCTTAGCAGGGAGTGTGGGAATGGGTTATAGGGACTACCATAAGTGATCTGAGTGGACTACCATACGCATCCATTCCCCCATTCCTTAAGGGCCAGTGAGTTTAAGAGTGCTATAGGGTTCTACAAGAGGGTTCCCTTTAGCAGGTTCCTGTAAGGGTTTAGGGTTTAGGGTTTACTTGAAGCCACTAACTACCTAAACCCTAAACCCTAAACCCTAAACCCTAAACCCTAAACCCTAAACCCTTCCTTAGCGGCTTTAAGCTGAAGCACGGGTAAAACGTCATGTGCATTCCGAGATTAGTGGGTTTCGGCTGCAGGGCTTATGGTTTAGGGTTTAGGGTTTAGGGTTTAGGGCTTAGGGTTTAGGGTTTAGGGTTTAGGGCTTAGGGTTTAGGGTTTAGGGTTTAGGGTTTAGGGCTTACACTGCAACGGCATTTTTAGTACAATTTCCGGTTTATCGGCTTACATAGCAAAACCTAAATCATAAATCACAACCCCAAACCCTAAATCCTAAATCCTTAAACGTAAAGCCTAAACCCTAGGCCTTTCGAAAAAAGGGGCTGAACAACAAATGTCCTTTTCACCGCAAGTCTTAAGCCGTAAACATTTCGACGTCCCGAGCCGAAGAGGAGAAATTGGTTGAGCGGAAGCGGGTGCCACTGATCGACCGGCGACTCGGCATTCGGTGCTTGGGGTTCAGGGGTTTAAAAAAGCATCTACAAGGGGGTTCCTTCAAAGGGATCTATACGGGTTCCTTTAAGGGTATCTATGGCATTCAGGGTTATAGGCACATTCAGGGCTCAGGGGCTTAGGATCTAGGCTTTTGGGTTTAGCGGTTCAGGGGTTTGGGGTTTGAGGGGTTTTGAGGTTTACGTTTAGGTTTAGGGTTGAGTGTGTGGGGGTTCAGGGTTTTAGGGGTTTAGCATTTCCCAGACCCCCGGGAGGATCCAAAAAGTAGATCCCTTAATGGGGGTTCCTATAAAGTACCCTTAATAGTATAGGGACCCAAATTAGGGGATCTACTTTCTAGATCCTCCCGGGGGTCTGGGTTAGGGTTGAGGGTTCATGGGTCTGCAATGCACAAGACACAGGGTTCAGGATGCACACGATTGCGTGGTGCACTTGGTTTAGGGTTTAGGGTTTAGGGGTCTAGGGTTTAGGGTTTAGGGTTTAGGGGTGTGGAGGAATGCCTGGCATTGAGGGCCGATGCAAGTGGGCAGATGAAGGCAGGCAGCCATCAAGAACCCTAAACCCTAATCCTTGGGTTAAGGCTTAGGCTGAAGGCTTTTCAGCTCAGGATCCTTAGTAAACTGCAGAGTTCGATTCAAGATGCACGACTCTGAGAGAGCTGAATTCCTATAGGGCTCCTCCACTTGTAAGCCGTCATTCCCTCTAAACGCCTTATTAAACCATCGATCCTGCTCAAGACCTTTCAAAACAATGGCATGAACCAGTTGTAGCACCCTCTGAAGCCCAACTTATAAAACTATGTTCGACAATTCTAAAGCACCATAAGTTCGCTTCAAAGTCTTGATAAAACCAACAACTGCTGCAACCCCTAAACCCTACAGCCCTAAACCCTAAACCCTAAAGCCCTAAACCCTAAACCCTAAAGCCCTAAACCCTAAACCCTAAAGCCCTAAACCCTAAACCCTAAAGCCCTTTAAACCCTAAACCCTAAAGCCCTAAACCCTAAACCCTAAAGCCCTAAACCCTAAACCCTAAAGCCCTAAACCCTAAACCCTAAACCCTAAAGCCCTAAACCCACACAGCGAACAGGAAGCCCCGACCCTGATCCCTAAACCCTAATCTAAGCCATTTACAGGTGGATAGTTTTAAGGTGGGTAGTCTCCCATAAGCCTTCCATACCACTCCTATAAGGTAAAGGGGTCTTATGGGAGTACTATGGAAGAGGAACTACCCACCTGTAATGGGCTTCTACCCTAAGTTCTAAGCAAACCTGGAAGCAAACATCCTGGTTGCCACAACGTAGAAGCCTGCATGAATACGCATGCTATTCCGTGCAGTTCCTAGTCTACTTATCCTAAACTCTGAACCCTTCTTGGAGTTTCATGGGACTCAGTAAGTACAGTTGTAATTTCGATCATTCAAAAAGCCCTATACCCTAGACCCTAAACCCTTAACCCTAAACCCCTGACAGCAACAAGGTGCTCAACCCTAAACCCTAAACCCTAAACCCTAAACCCTAAACCCTAAACCCTAAACCCTGAAACCCTAAACCCTAAACCCTGAAGCCCTAAAGCCCTAAGCCTTTAAAAATGCCCCGAGCCGAGGCAAAGAGGTGCAGGGCTCAGTGAGGGGGCTTGAACTTCGGGTCTACGGTTTTAAAGGGGGCGGTTTAGGGTTTAGGAAAGGGGGCGGTTTAGGGGTTTTATCGTGTTTCATTGGGTTTGTTGTAGGTTGTTGAATGGGGGCTATGGGGTTGCAAGTGTTTTTTTATAGCGTGTTAATGGGTTTTAACCTGTTTCATCGGGTTTCATGAGGCTCTAGAAAACCTCCACACGGGTTTCGGGTTTTGGATTATATAAGATTTTCGGGGCTCACATTGCACCTTCTCTTGAAGCTTCTTGTGTTATCGACGACGGATGGGACATTTGCAATGGTTGTCTTGACCACGGCAGCGCTCACAGAGTTGATTGGTACGAAGAGGGCGACATTTAGGAAAGCAGGTTTTGGGGCGGGCAACGCGGGCGACACATTTGGCTTACAGGCATGCCTCGTCCCATCTCAGTCTCCCGCCGATGGTCAGAATGCATGGCGTACGAACTCCCGAGCCGATCACCGTCGAAGGTCTCCTCCTTCGTGCTTTGGGTTGAGGCGAGGCAAGGAGCTCACCAGAGGCCTGACTTGGGCTAAGAGCTGGAAGGCCATGATACAAGTGATTGAGGGCTTGGAACCCAGTCACACTGACTAATTCGCACCAAGTCGTGGGTGCAGGCATTCAGGCAGACAGCAGGCCTCGGCGGTGTTTTGCTTGGTTCGGGGGTCCGGGTTCAGGGTTTAGGGTCGGCGTGCGGCTTTCAACTTGCGCGAGCGGAAAGCACCCAGTCTCAAGCGGATGAGAGCTCCGGGCTTGGGATTCATGAAGTTACTTAGACTTCGTAAGATGGCATGCCGTTTCCGAGAAATTCTACCGCTATAGACCGCTGATTAGTTAGACCCACTGTTTTCCAGGGCCCCGTAGTTTGCAGAGTTTTGGTTTTAAGCTTGACGTCGAGGTCGTCCAGAAGTGCCCTTACGCTGCTATGGCTAGTGTTATGATTAGTAGTAGTATTAATATTGGTCTGGCGGTTCTTATGATCATTATGTGACTATTCTTCTCCTTCTTGTTTTTGGGGTCTCCCTTCGGGTAGGTAATTAACCTTCGGTTAATGTTTGTTGATCTAGAGTGCACAGCCTCGATGTTGTACGATCATATACCTCCAGACCCGATTATAGAAGGCAAACTCGCAAGTACTATTCCTCAAGCTTCCTTATCATAACTATCAGGTGAAGGAGCCCACACCCTATTCTAATTATTAAGTTCCCTAGATTGGTCTCATTAGCATGGCCTCTGTACCCTAAACCCTAAGGTCTAAAACCCTAAACCCTAAACCCCAACCCCAAACCCCAAACCCTAAACCCCAAACCCTATAGATCCCTTATAGGAACCCTCATAGTTCCCTTTAAAGGAAGCCTCTACTTGGAGGGTCGGGGGACTTAGTAAGTAGTTATTTTATAGACTTATAAGTATCATAACCCCAATTAGGATCCCTGTTAGGGTACTTATAAGTCTACTTATTACCTACTTACTAAGTCCCCCGACCCTCCAAGTAACAAGCCCCCAAGCCCCAAGCCCCAAACCTCTCTGCTCAGCAGGGAGCCTTAAGAGTTTACATAGGGTATGTACATATATATAGTAGGTATTTAGGGATCCCAGGGTTAAGGGCCCATAGTAGGGGCCCATGGTTTCAACCAAAGGAACCCTATAATCCCCTATAGAACCCTTTTAAAAGAGCCCTAAACCCTGAACCCTAGACCCCCTAAAAGGAACCCTTATAGATCCCTTTAAAGGGGCCCATGGAACCTAAACCCTAAACCCTAACCCCTAGACCCTAAACTGTAAAGCCCATGGAACCCTTGATTGAGGCGATGTCGATGTACCTGTGGACATGCCTACCTTCCACCCACTGCGGGATGGCCGCGAGGCCCTCCTAGGGTCCCTTTGAAGGGATCTATAAGGGTTCCCTTTAAGGGCTCCTATAAGGGCATCTAGCTTAGGGGTAGTAAGAAATATCTTTTAATTTGGGTTGTTTCATCCTCAAGAAACAGCTGAAATTACAATCTTTGCTAGGGGTCTAAGTTCGCATTGCGCGCGCAAACAGCGGACGCGCACCGCTAAACCCGATAAACCCGATAAACCCGACAAACCCGATAAACCCGACAAGCCCGATAAACCCGATAAACCCGATAAGCCCGATAAACCCGATAAACACGGTAAGCCCGGTAAGCCCGGTAAACCTGATATCAGGGGCGCCCCATCAACCCAAGGCCCCACCCTCGAAGTTCAAGATCTGTAAGGGTTGCGATTTAGAAGGCAGGGGTGCCCCATCAAGCCAAGGCCCGACCCTCGGAGTTCAAGATTTGTAAGAGTTCTGATTTAAAAACCAGGGGCGTCCAAGGCCCCCTCCCCGGAGTTCAAGCTCACTAAGAGGCGGTGATCTGAAAATCATGGGCGCTCCATCAGTCCAAGTCCTCCTCCTCGGAGTTCAACATCTGTCAAAGCTTTGATTTAAGAATCAGGGGTGCCCCATCAGTCCAAAGCCCCACTCTCGGAGTTCAAGGATCTGTAAGGGTTCTGATTTTGAAAATCAGGGGCGCCCCGCTCCATCAGAGTCCAAGGCCCCACCCTCGGAGTTCAAGATCTGTAAGGGTTGCGATTTAGAAGGCAGGGGTGCCCCAGCAACCCAAGGCCCGACCCTCGGAGTTCAAGAATTGAAAGAGTTCTGATGAAACAACCAGGGGCGTCCAAGGCCCCACCCCCGGAGTTCAAGCTCACTAAGAGGCGGTGATCTGAAAATCATGGGCGCTCCATCAGTCCAAGTCCTCATCCTCGGAGTTCAACATCTGTCAAAGCTTTGATTTCAGAATCAGAATCAGGGGTGCCCCATCAGTCCAAAGCCCCACCCTCGGAGTTCAAGGATCTGTAAGGGTTCTGATTTAAAAATCAGGGGCGCCCCGCTCCATCAGAGTCCAAGGCCCCACCCTCGGAGTTCAAGATCTGTAAGGGTTGTGATTTAGAAATCAGGGGCGCCCCGCCCCATCAGAGTCCAAGGCCCCACCCTCGGAGTTCAAGATCTGTAAGGGTTGTGATTTAGAAATCAGGGGTGCCCCATCAACCCAAGGCCCGACCCTCGGAGTTCAAGATTTGTAAGAGTTCTGATTAAAAAACCAGGGGCGTCCAAGGCCCCACCCCCGGAGTTCAAGCTCACTAAGAGGCGGTGATCTGAAAATCATGGGCGCTCCATCAGTCCAGGGCCTCCTCCTCGGAGTTCAACATCTGTCAAAGCTTTGATTTAAGAATCAGAGGTGCCCCATCAGTCCAAAGCCCCACCCTCAGAGTTCAAGGATCTGTAAGGGTTCTGATTTAAAAATCAGGGGCGCCCCGCTCCATCAGAGTCCAAGGCCCCACCCTCGGAGTTCAAGATCTGTAAGGGTTGCGATTTAGAAGGCAGGGTTGCCCCAGCAACCCAAGGCCCGACCCTCGGAGTTCAAGATTTGTAAGAGTTCTGATTTAAAAAACAGGGGCGTCCAAGGCCCCCGCCCCGGAGTTCAAGCTCACTAAGAGGCGGTGATCTGAAAATCATGGGCGCTCCATCAGTCCAAGTCCTCCTCCTCGGAGTTCAACAACTGTCAAAGCTTTGATTTAAGAATCAGGGGTGCCCCATCAGTCCAAAGCCCCACCCTCAAAGATCAAGGGTCTGTAAGGGTTCTGATTCAAAAATCAGGGGCGCCCCGCCCCATCAGAGTCCAAGGCCCCACCCTCGGATAAGGGTTGTGATTTAGAAATCAGGGGTGCCCCATCAAGCCAAGACCCGACCCTCGGAGTTCAAGATTTGTAAGAGTTCTGATAAAAAACCAGGGGCGTCCAAGGCCCCACGCCCGGAGTTCAAGCTCACTAAGAGGTGGTGATCTGAAAATCATGGGCGCTCCATCAGTCCAAGTCCTCATCCTCGGAGTTCAACATCTGTCAAAGCTTTGGTTTAAGAATCAGGTGTGCCCCATCAGTCCAAAGCCCACCCTCGGAGTTCAAGGATCTGTAAGGGTTCTGATTTAAAAATCAGGGGCGCCCCGCCCCATCAGAGTCCAAGGCCCCACCCTCGGAGTTCAAGGATCTGTAAGGGTTGTGATTTAGAAATCAGGGGTGCCCCATCAAGCCAAGGCCCGACCCTCGGAGTTCAAGATTTGTAAGAGTTCTGATTAAAAAACCAGGGGCGTCCAAGGCCCCACCTCCGGAGTTCAAGCTCACTAAGAGGCGGTGATCTGAAAATCATGGGCACTCCATCAGACCAGGGCCTCCTCCTCGGAGTTCAACATCTGTCAAAGCTTTGATTTAAGAATCAGGGGTGCCCCATCAGTCCCAAGCCCCACCATCGGAGTTCAATGATCTGTAAGGGTTCTGATTTAAAAATCAGGGGCGCCCCGCTCCATCAGAGTCCAAGGCCCCACCCTCGGAGTTCAAGATCTGCAAGGGTTGTGATTTAGAAGGCAGGGGTGCCCCAGCAACCCAAGGCCCGACCCTCGGAGTTCAAGATTTGTAAGAGTTCTGATTTAAAAACCAGGGGCGTCCAAGGCCCCACCCCCGGAGTTCAAGCTCACTAAGAGGCGGTGATCTGAAAATCATGGGCGCTCCATCAGTCCAAGTCCTCCTCCTCGGAGTTCAACAACTGTCAAAGTCTTTGGTTTACGAATCAGGGGTGCCCCATCAGTCCAAAGCCCACCCTCGGAGTTCAAGGATCTGTAAGGGTTCTGATTTAAAAATCAGGGGCGCCCCGCCCCATCAGAGTCCAAGGCCCCACCCTCGGAGTTCAAGGATCTGTAAGGGTTGTGATTTAGAAATCAGGGGCGCCCCGCTCCATCAGAGTCCAAGGCCCCACCCTCGGAGTTCAAGATTTGTAAGAGTTCTGATTAAAAAAACCAGGGGCGTCCGAGGCCCCACCCCCGGAGTTCAAGCTCACTAAGAGGCGGTGATCTGAAAATCATGGGCGCTCCATCAGTCCAAGTCCTCATGCTCGGAGTTCAACATCTGTCAAAGCTTTGATTTAAGAATCAGGGGTGCCCCATCAGTCCAAAGCCCCACCCTCAAAGATCAAGGATCTGTAAGGGTTCTGATTTAAAGCTGAAGGGTGCCCCGCCCCATCAGTCCAAGGCCCCGCCGTCGGAGTTCAAGATCTGCAAGGGTTGTGATTTAGAAATCAGGGGCGCCCCATCAAGCCAAGGCCCGACCCTCGGAGTTCAAGATCTGTAGAAGGGTTGTGATTTAGAAATCAGGGGCGCCCCATCAACCCAAGGCCCGACCCTCGGAGTTCAAGATCTGTAAGGAATCTGATTTTTGAAATCAGGGGCGCTCCATCAGTCCAGGACCCCACCATCGGAGTTCAAGATCTGTAAGAGTTCTGATTTGAAAACCAGGGCCCCGCCCCCGGAGTTCAAGCTCAGTAAGAGTCCTCATCTGAAAATCATGGGCGCTCCATCAGTCCAAGACTCAGGGGCGCTCCATCAGTTCAGGGCCCCACCCTCGGAGTTCAAGATCTGTAAGACTTCTGATTTAAAAGACCAGGTGTGTTCAGCTCAGTAAGAGTGCTGATCTGAAAATCATGGGCGCTCCATCAGTCCAAGTCCTCCTCCTCGGAGTTCAACATCTGTCAAAGCTTTGATTTAAGAATCAGGGGTGCCCCATCAGTCCAAAGCCCCACCCTCGGAGTTCAAGGATCTGTAAGGGTTCTGATTTAAAAATCAGGGGCGCCCCGCTCCATCAGAGTCCAAAGCCCCACCCTCGGAGTTCAAGATCTGTAAGGGTTGTGATTTAGAAATCAGGGGTGCCCCATCAACCCAAGGCCCGACCCTCGGAATTCAAGATTTGTTAGAGTTCTGATTAAAAAAACCAGGGGCGTCCAAAGCCCCACCCCCGGAGTTCAAGCTCACTAAGAGGCGGTGATCTGAAAATCATGGGCGCTCCATCAGTCCAAGTCCTCATCCTCGGAGTTCAACATCTGTCAAAGCTTTGATTTAAGAATCAGGGGTGCACCATCAGTCCAAAGCCCACCCTCGGAGTTCAAGGATCTGTAAGGGTTCTGATTTAAAAATCAGGGGCGCCCCGCTCCATCAGAGTCCAAGGCCCCACCCTCGGAGTTCAAGATCTGTAAGGGTTGCGATTTAGAAGGCAGGGGTGCCCCAGCAACCCAAGGCCCGACCCTCGGAGTTCAAGATTTGTAAGAGTTCTGATTTAAAAAACAGGGGCGTCCAAGGCCCCCGCCCCGGAGTTCAAGCTCACTAAGAGGCGGTGATCTGAAAATCATGGGCGCTCCATCAGTCCAAGTCCTCCTCCTCGGAGTTCAACAACTGTCAAAGCTTTGATTTAAGAATCAGGGGTGCCCCATCAGTCCAAAGCCCCACCCTCAAAGATCAAGGGTCTGTAAGGGTTCTGATTCAAAAATCAGGGGCGCCCCGCCCCATCAGAGTCCAAGGCCCCACCCTCGGATAAGGGTTGTGATTTAGAAATCAGGGGTGCCCCATCAAGCCAAGACCCGACCCTCGGAGTTCAAGATTTGTAAGAGTTCTGATAAAAAACCAGGGGCGTCCAAGGCCCCACGCCCGGAGTTCAAGCTCACTAAGAGGTGGTGATCTGAAAATCATGGGCGCTCCATCAGTCCAAGTCCTCATCCTCGGAGTTCAACATCTGTCAAAGCTTTGGTTTAAGAATCAGGTGTGCCCCATCAGTCCAAAGCCCACCCTCGGAGTTCAAGGATCTGTAAGGGTTCTGATTTAAAAATCAGGGGCGCCCCGCCCCATCAGAGTCCAAGGCCCCACCCTCGGAGTTCAAGGATCTGTAAGGGTTGTGATTTAGAAATCAGGGGTGCCCCATCAAGCCAAGGCCCGACCCTCGGAGTTCAAGATTTGTAAGAGTTCTGATTAAAAAACCAGGGGCGTCCAAGGCCCCACCTCCGGAGTTCAAGCTCACTAAGAGGCGGTGATCTGAAAATCATGGGCGCTCCATCAGTCCAAGTCCTCCTCTCGGAGTTCAACATCTGTCAAAGCTTTGATTTAAGAATCAGGGGTGCCCCATCAGTCCAAAGCCCCACCCTCAAAGATCAAGGATTTGTAAGGGTTTTGATTCAAAAATCAGGGGCGCCCCGCCCCATCAGTCCAAGGCCCCACCCTCGGAGTTCAAGATCTGCAAGGGTTGTGATTTAGAAGGCAGGGGTGCCCCATCAAGCCAAGGCCCGACCCTCGGAGTTCAAGACTTGTAAGAGTTCTGATTAAACAACCAGGGGCGTCCAAGGCCCCCGCCCCGGAGTTCAAGCTCACTAAGAGGCGGTGATCTGAAAATCATGGGCGCTCCATCAGTCCAAGTCCTCATCCTCGGAGTTCAACATCTGTCAAAGCTTTGATTTAAGAATCAGGGGTGCCCCATCAGTCCAAAGCTCCACCCTCGGAGTTCAAGGATCAGTAAGGGCTCTGATTCAAAAATCAGGGGCGCCCCGCTCCATCAGAGTCCAAGGCCCCACCCTCGGAGTTCAAGATCTGTAAGGGTTGTGATTTAGAAATCAGGGGCGCCCCGCTCCATCAGAGTCCAAGGCCCCACCCTCGGAGTTCAAGATTTGAAAGAGTTCTGATTAAAAAAACCAGGGGCGTCCGAGGCCCCACCCCCGGAGTTCAAGCTCACTAAGAGGCGGTGATCTGAAAATCATGGGCGCTCCATCAGTCCAAGTCCTCATGCTCGGAGTTCAACATCTGTCAAAGCTTTGATTTAAGAATCAGGGGTGCCCCATCAGTCCAAAGCCCCACCCTCAAAGATCAAGGATCTGTAAGGGTTCTGATTTAAAGCTGAGGGGTGCCCCGCCCCATCAGTCCAAGGCCCCGCCGTCGGAGTTCAAGATCTGCAAGGGTTGTGATTTAGAAATCAGGGGCGCCCCATCAAGCCAAGGCCCGACCCTCGGAGTTCAAGATCTGTAGAAGGGTTGTGATTTAGAAATCAGGGGCGCCCCATCAACCCAAGGCCCGACCCTCGGAGTTCAAGATCTGTAAGGAATCTGATTTTTGAAATCAGGGGCGCTCCATCAGTCCAGGACCCCACCATCGGAGTTCAAGATCTGTAAGAGTTCTGATTTGAAAACCAGGGCCCCGCCCCCGGAGTTCAAGCTCAGTAAGAGTCCTCATCTGAAAATCATGGGCGCTCCATCAGTCCAAGAATCAGGGGCGCTCCATCAGTTCAGGGCCCCACCCTCGGAGTTGAAGATCTGTAAGACTTCTGATTTAAAAAACCAGGTGTGTTCAGCTCAGTAAGAGTGCTGATCTGAAAATCATGGGCGCTCCATCAGTCCAAGGCCTCAAGATTTGATTTAAAAATCAGGGGTGCCCCATCAGTCCAAAGCCCCACCCTCGGAGTTCAAGGATCTGTAAGGGTTCTGATTTAAAAATCAGGGGCGCCCCATCACCAAGGCCCCAGCCTCGGAGCTCAAAATCTGTCAGGGTTCTAACTCAGGGCTGCCTCATCAGTCCAGGACCCCACCCTCGGAGTTCAAGGATCTGTGAGGGTTCCGATTTAAAAAATCAGGGGCGCCCCATCACCAAGGCCCCACCCTCGGAGCTCAAGGTCCGTCAGGGCTGTAACTTAAGAACCAGGGGCTTTCCATCAGTCCAAGGTCTTTGCCTCGGAGTTCAAGGATCTGTAAGGGTTCTGATTTAAAACTGAGGGGCGCCCCATCAGTCCAAGGCCCCACCCTCGAACTTCAAGATCTGTATAGGGTTGTGATCAATTAAGAAATCAAGGGCGGCCCGTCAGTCCAAAGCCTTAGCCTCGGAGTTCAAGATCTGCAGGGGTTGTGAATTCAACATCAGCGGCGCCCCATCAGTCCAAGACCCCACCCTCGGAATTCAAGATCTAAGAGTTCTGCTTTAAAAACCAGGGGCGTCCAAGGCCCCACCCCCGCAGTTCAAGCTCAGTAAGAAAGGACTTTGCCTGGCAATCGGTGTGTCGAATTGGCTCGGTGGGTGGACTTGGTTGCGGGTATCCTTTCACATATGGTTCAAGGATTTGAAGTGTCCAGTCCAGATGTTTTCAGATTCTATCGGTCGATAGTCATACCTTTCAGAAGACTTTCAGAAGAACAAAGACACGATAACAAACCCGAAATAGTTCCGAAGTGCGCGCAAAATTCCGGTGCACACACAAGAGCACGTCAATTGAGTCGAGATTCGCCATTTTTTTATTTCTCTGACTGAAAGTTGACGAGAAATCGCAGGACTGCGGGAACTGCTGCCAGCAATGAGGCACAAAAACCTGGTACCACAGGCACTGCCCGGAAATCGCAGGCTGCAAGACCAAGGTCGCAACCAGGCTGCGACAGGCACAGGGTAGTATTGCCTGTGTGCCAGGCTGTAGGCAGAATTCTAGCGCAATTCCAGCGCATTCGGCGCAATTCGGCGCAATCGGCGCAATTCGGCGCAAACGGCGCAATTCGGCGCAAACGGCGCAATTTGGCGCAAACGGTCCCGGTGCAATCGGCGCGATTCGGCGCAATTGGTGCTTTCCAGCGCATTCCAACGCATTCGGCGCATTCCAGCGCAATCGGCGCAATCCAGCGCATGGCCATCTGGGGCCACTGAGCCCGCACGCACTGTAAGTTCGGTATAGCTAGTCGTTTAGGTCTCGGGTAATAGGGTTTAGGAGTTTTGGGTTTAAGGCTTCGGGCTTAGGGTTTAGGGTTGGGCTTAGGGCATGGAGCGTAGGTTTTCGGGTTTCGGGTGCGTAGGTTTAAGCAACTCCTTCTTTCCGACAATTGATGAATCTGCAACAGTTGGCTTCGGGCTTGGTCTAAGGCCATGCCAAGATTGAATTCAAGTTTAGGGCTTTGAGCTTCGCAGGTTGTATCGCAGTGTATAGGCTGCTACTCTTTCTTCTCCTGCTGCTCTTCGTCCTCCTGTCCTGCTATCACCACCGCTTGTCTTGATGAAGTTTCACCTGTGTTTTGTTTTCATATTGGTCTGAAGTGTGGTGCTTGTGCGGTTACCGCAGCGGCTACCATCCTTACGTCTTTGTTTCTTTTTGTATGTAGGGGTTTTTTGATGACATTGATTGAACTCAGAGCGTTACATTAGGGCGATCTCACAAATCGTCAGCTTTCGGGCTTCTGCGGGCGACGGGTTCTTGGTTTCTCAGGCTCCACCAGCTTCCGGAACATTGCACTGGGCCTAGAGGTATGAATGGAGCTTGGAATCTAGGCTTGCGTAATTCGTAGCCATGTCCCCTTATGGTAGCTTGATATCTGGGGGCTGTTCTAAATTATGGTCCCTTTTCTATCGTAGTATAGTCCTTATTATATAGGGTACCCAAAAAGGGACCATAATTTAGAACAGCCCCCATCTGATAGTTGCCTCAAAGGCCCATCTTTGTTGCTCAAGCACCATCCGACGCCCTGCATGCTAAAATGATGTCAGTTTGCCCGGCAACCCGCGCTCCTAGAAAGGTTCGGGTCAGCGCCGAGCTTTGGGACGTGCCTCATCACTTCAGCTCGAAAGTGCTTGCATGTGTTTAGTAGGTTCTTCTGTTGATGATATAAATCCTGCGTTACCTTAAGGACTCTAAACTATGGGAATTATGGTATTTTCCTTATTCTGGGTAGTGCAGGATTTATATCATCAACCGTTCTGCTCTCTTCTGGCGACCTGTACCCCATAAAGTTTGAAGTTCCGGTTGAAGTTCCGGTAGGAAGAGCTTACCAGGGGCATCAAAATAGCCCAAAAGCCTTATACAATATATGGTCTTTGGGCCCAAATGCCGTGATATATGAGTCCTTAGATGCCTAGGGTTAAACCCGAAGCTCCACTCAACGCAGCCCAGTAAAAAAGGAATGCCAGTTGCATCCCATCAATCTTCAGCCCTGACCCCCGTGCCCAAACTCTACATTCTTCACAACCCTATAAAGACCTTATAACCCTAGACCCGATAACCCACGATGGCCCTTAGCCCTAAATCCTGAGCCCCAAATCCCGAGTTTTCGAAGACCGCAGGCTCGCTATTGCTACTGCTCTGGTGCTTCACGGCCTGAAGGCAGACCGCAAACTCGTAAACCCGGTATACCTTCAGCCCCAAATAGCCTACCTTTTCTAAGGACTCATATACGGAGAGCACAATACGCAACTCGAAATCGGTAGGCGATTATGGATGGCCGTAGACCTTTAAGTTTAGGTTTAAGGGTTTTATATTCAGAGCGCGGCCTCTGGATGCAAGGGTTCGGCTTCGTCCTAAAGGGTGGGTTTTACATGCCTTTCAGAGGGTGTCGGAGGTAAATGTTTCTCTCAGAGTCTTTGGTGCTTGTTAGGGCTTAGAGCAGCGGTTCAAAGGCATCCGAAAGGATCCAAAAACCGGGAACCCTTAACCCTCCAAATTGTTATCCTATTTCATGTAGTGCTAGGAATCTCTGTTAGAAATCTCTAACCCTGTAAACGCTTGTAAAGCTCTTTCAAAAAACCATAACACCAGGGGAAACCCTATAAACACCTTCTTACCAACACCTTCCAAGATCCAAGAGACCCCGTCCATATGGCCAGGGCCAGACATAAAAACATCGTCTTAGAGACCCCACCCGAAGCCCCTGAGCCCATAAACCCCGAAGCCCGTCCTAGAGTCCTAGAGGGGTTTAAAGCGCCCAACATGCTGCGTGAAGCGCCTAGTGCGCACTTCTCAGCCCTAAACCCTGAAAGCCGATATACTTCAGTAGTTAAAAATGACCCATTAGAGTCCTTGTAACTATACTACAACTTCCTATTCTGATCTGATCATTAAGGCCCCTGCATTAAACCTACAAGCCATGGAGAGCGCTACCTATTGGCAGCTTAAGACTTACCTGGGGATCCGAAAACCTACCGTTTCAAGGGTTCTACCCTCTAATTAAGGGGTCATAACCTACTATTTTGTAGGGTTTGGGGATACAGGTTAATTAAGGAATAGACCTTAAATCATGTTGGGGATCCTGATATAATCTAACTAAGGTGTACCATGGTATATTTCTGCACCCAGGAAAGGTCGTATGAAGAGCCACTTGAAAACCCTGTCATACCTTGTTGAAGCTCTATGAAACCCCAGAGTCCCCCAGCCCGTCTGAAACCTCGAAAGTCCTCCTGAGTTCGAAAACCCGACACCCTAAGAGCTAAACCGTACCCAGAGACCCCAATATCCCTTAATTAAGGAAAATTCCTTAAATCATACAAAGGATCCTAGTATAATTTAAGGAACATTCCTTAATTAAGGGATATTGGAGTCTCTGGGTAAGCTATACCATCCTAAACTAGGACCTAGAGTAGGCCCTTATTCCCTTTTTTAGGGTTCAGGTGCCCTTATAAGTCCCTTGAAACCAAAAAGAGCACCCTTTTTTTTCCCTAGGTTACTCTTAGGTCCCTAAACCCTAAACCCCTATAGATCCCTTAAAGGAACCCTTATAGTACCCTTTAAAGGACCCCTCCTAGTAAACCTGAGGATCCTTCTAAAACCCTAAGCCCTAAACCCTGAAGCCTATGAACCCTAAGCCCTAAACCCTTATAGAACCCTTAAAGGGGCCCTTGTAGTACCCTTGAAGGAACCCTTCTAGGGAACCCTAAATCCTTAAGGGTGCCGTGGCCCTTCGGTCGCTTCTGCCCAGAGGCTGGTTTCCCTTCCGTTCGCTCTTGAAGGCGAGGCTGCTCTTCCATTTAGGGTTTTGTGGTTGTGGGTTTTTGGGGGTTGTGGGTTTTGGGGTTTGGGGGTTTTGGGGGTTTTAGGTTTAGGGTTTTGTGGTATTGGGGTTTGGAGTTTAGGGTTTGTGGGGTATACGGTATAGGGTTTCGGGGTTTAGGGTTTAGGGCTTGGGATTTAGGGTTTCGGGGCTGATCTTCTGAGCAGGTTACTTGTAAGGGTTTAGGGTTTGCTCAGGGTTTGCTCCGGAGGTTTAGGGTTTAGGGTTTGCAGGGTCTAGGGCTTAGGGTTTAGTTCAGATTTCCTGCAAGGAGAGTCCAAGGTTATGGGAGAATTTGGAAAGGGCTTACGGCTTAGGATTGCGAGACCTGGCCAGACGATCGCCATGTTCCTGGACCCTAGAATTACTGAAAGAGCCCTCCTCTCGAGCAAAGGTGTCTTTCAGGGTTCCTTATCAACGACGATTAGCTGAGTAGCTCTGACACATCTCGACAATGACAGGGACTTCCAAAACATCCGCAAGGCTACAAAAGAACGGCATCTTTACTATCTACGAAGCACTGACCTTGCATCAACAGCCGTGTAATTCTGGTTAGAGGGTTGCAGAGCTCTTGCAATAGCTGATCTTTGCTCAGAGATACAGAACCCTGCCTATAATGCAGGAGAACCTTCGCAATCAAGTTGATTCAATATTGCAAGCGGCTTCCGGTTTCTTGCGACAACGTAAAGAAGAGTTGCAACATATTTTCTACGATATCAAGGAGTTCTTCATCGGCGTTTAGGGTATTGGCCGTGCTCCTGAATCCCGCCATGCGGGAAAAGTATGGTGGTCCTCCACCTGGCCGCGAGTACTTGGAGCAATCATTGTGGCCGATCGTCAGGAGTGGCAGTAGTAGTAGTAGCAGTAGTAGTAGTAGCAGTAGTAGTAGTAGTAGTAGTAGTAGTAGTAGTAGTAGTAGTAGTAGTAGTAGTAGTAGTGGTAGTAGTGGTAGTAGTGGTAGCAGTGGTAGTAGTGGTAGTAGTGGTAGTAGTGGTTGTAGTGGTAGTGGTAGTGGTAGTGGTAGTGGTAGTAGTAGTAGTAGTAGTAGTAGTAGTAGTAGCAGTAGAAGAAGTAGCAGCGGTGGTAGTGGTAGTAGCAGTAGGAGATGGAGGAGAAGTAGCAGCAAGAGTCGGAGTGGGAGTAGGCGTAGGCGTGGGAGTGGGAGTGGGGGGAGTAGGAGTAGGAGCAGGAGTAGGAGTAGCTCTCACAGTGAGAGCCGCCTACAGTCTTAGAAAAAATATTCCCTAGGCCTCATAGAATCACCGAAGCCGTTTTCAAATTTTGCACATCAGGATCCCCAATCCCTAAGCCTCTAAGCGACAACTTGCTGCCTAAACCCTAAACCCTAAAACCCCAACCCCAAACCGCAAGACTAGTGCGCTGCTACCAGGGACCTGGGAAGCATGCCTGGATTTGGACCCTGAGGCCAGAACCCTTTAAAGAAACGCGTGAAGTAATCCGCCCTTAAAGTAATCCTTAAAAGAATTCTTAAAGGCATATTTAAAGGAATCCTAAAGCCTAATCCCGTTAAAGGAACCCTTTCATCAAACCCGAGGTCGACCTCAGCAGCGGCGAGGTGAATAACTGGGATGCCGGAGACGGGCGGCTGGGCTTTAGATGACAGAAAAGGGCTTAGGGTTTAGGGGGCTTAGGATATTGGGTTTAGGATTGTGGGTTCAAGGGTTTAGGGTTTAGGGGTTTGGGCCGCCCACCGTTTGGGGTTCTTTTAGGGTTAAACGGCTGCTTTATGGGATACGATAAGGGCTACTGGTATTCAAAGGGGTATCCGAAACGAGGCTCAAAGGGATACCAGAAGCGGGTTTCGGCTTAAGGTTAGGGTTTTGGGTCTAGGATTGGCGAGGTTAGATAGGGGTTGTTCTGAAGTTCTCAGATAGAAAACAGAGTGTAGGGTTAAGGGTTTGGAAGTTCAGGGGTTGAGGGTTTAGAGTTTAGGGGTCTAGTGTTCTCAGGGTTAAATGCCATTTAAATGCCCAAGTTCAGCCGTCAATCCACTCAGGTTCAGGCTTTGAACTGCGTGTTTTGGGAAACAGGCTTTCGAGTCGTGAAGGTTCGGTGTGCAGGGTTTGGAGTTTGTGGCTCGGTGTGTTCTTTTGTTCCTGAGACCGTGTTAGAAGGGGTAATGAGTTCAGAACTCGTTCTCCCATGGTCAATGCTTTGCCCTAATTCCCTCATCCTCAAAAACTTTAAACCCCATTGGAACAATTAATTTCAATTATTGACAGTTCGCCTTACATAGTTTTTTACCACGAAACCTATTGTAATATTTACGGTCTTATATTAAAGCCCTGAACTCTCTGATCTGATCTGAAATGAATAGAGGTTGTAGAGAACTCCACTTCTTTCATTCAGGTGAAGGTCATGAGCTTCTGTCCGTGTCAGCATGATCTTGTGGCCTGTGTTCGGGTCCGTACCAAGGGGCCCAGGTCCTGTTTGCGTTAATCCGATAATTTGCCCAAGGCCCAAAACTTCAGTTTAAACCAGGAACCACAAGGAGCGCGCAACGCTAAACCCAAAACGCTGAATCCTGAACCCGAAGCCCTAAATCCTGAACCCTGAACCCCGCAACCATTTTGGCTCTTGCCAACTTGGTGCTCTGAATACAAACACGAGAATATCAGTGGCAAGAACTTTCCATCGGGTTTCAACTTCTCGAGTACACGGCACCCAGCATGGGCTACGACTTGGGAGATTTTGATGCGGATGATTCCTTTGACTCCAAGGACGAGTAGAGGATGAGAATACCACTTCGGGTCCCAACCGGGGCCCAGGTGACATGCAGCTGCATGTTCCCTAGGATGCCCAGTAGTACCCTTATTCCCTTTTTGTAGTCCTAGGTTCCTTATAAAGTTACCCAATACCAAAAAGAGAGGCCTTTTTATTCTTAGGTTACTGGGTATCCTAGTCAAGAGACTCTTGGCTCGCCACGTCCTTGCAACATCCATGGGACTCTACAAAGCACAAGAAAATGATGCTCATACGGTTGATGATGTAAATCCTGCATTGCCCATAATAAGGAATATACCATAATTCCCATAGTCTAGGGCTCGTCACGTCAACGACACCCGCCCAAAAGTGTTGTGTTACTGGCTCGGTGACGCTGCAGGCGTGAAAAATCTCAAGGCCCTCTTCAAGGGGCGCTGGAGTAGAGCCGTGCGACTGGTGGAACGACCTCAAGGAGACCATCCGGGACCTAAGGGCACTTTTGAAGGATCACTGCAAGAAAGTCTCCGGAGAGTACGTGACGGAGCTGGAGAGCACGTTTACGGTTTAGCTGGGGTTTAGGTCCTATATCCTCCACCCTTAAAAATTACAACCCTATCGCCATCAAGTTTTGCATCCTTTTGATCCCTACCAAGCCCTCTAGATCGCATATACTCGGCTCCGCACTAGTATCCTTTTGCACTGTTTTCTTTCTTGGGGTTCCCTTTGGAAATAGAAGGAAGAAGGGCACCCTTGTTAGAGCCCCATATAAGGCAGGGTATGGCAACCCGAGCAGCAGAATCTTAAACGCTGAGCCCAAAGACTTGAATACATACCTTCTTGTAGCCCTTATCATGGTGATTCTGCCAGAGTGACCCTGCCATCGTACATAGTAACCCTGCATTGAAAACTCTTCTTTACAAGACCCCCCCCCCGGTAACGCCTAAAGGCCCTAAATCTCTACCACCCTAGACTCTTCAACCCCTGAATCTTCAAACCCTAAACCCTCAGTCTCAACCCTTAACCCTTAACCCTAAATCCTGAACCCGAAACTTGAACCCCCAAAATCCTAGAGATCCCTTTAAAGGAACCCCTGTAGATCCCTTTAAAAAAACATGAAACATAAAACCCTGAATCCTAGAGCCGCATGCAAGGTGCATCGTCTCGGAGCCCACCTTTCTGCCGAACTCCCCTGGGGGCCTTGACTGGCTTGGCGAGGCTCGGGGGTCCCGGCTGGGGCATGGTAATCCCAAAGACTACAGTAAGCTAAACCCTAACCCCTAAACCCTAAACCCTATAGGGTTTAGGGTTTAGGGGACTCCAATATCCCTTAATGAAGGCATATTCCTTAAATCATATTAGGGGCTCTATTACGATTTAAGGTAAATTCCTTAATTAAGGGACATTGGAGTCTCAGTGATCGTAATATCGAAACCTCGGTTCAGGGTTAGGGGTCTGGGTTTTAATTTTGAGGATTACGGTGCTATCTTGGCTGGGGTTAGAAGCCATCCCATGTAGGGGGGGTATCTTATCTATAAGCCTAGTTACAAACTCACATGGGTGGTTGTCAAAATTATGGTCCCCTTTTTGGGGTCCTTGTTATGATACGGCACCTAGTATTTATTGTACCCCAGAAAGGGACCCTAATTCCCCAAAAAGAGACCCTGATTTTGACAACCACCCACATGAACCTTGCAGTCTCCCTTGAAACGCAGAACTAACCATCGACTCACATTCACACTCCGCCAAGCACTGGGTCCAGGCTCGCTTTAGACGTTGGTGGGGATTTAGGGTTTGGGGGTTTGGGGATTTAGGATTTAGAATTTAGTTCAGGGATTAGGATTTGGGCTTAGGGGTTTAGGATTTAGTTTAGGGGTTTAGTGGGGTTTAGGATTTAGGGTGCTTTGCAGCAACGACGGAGAAATCCAGCTCAGAGGAACAAGCGGAAGTGCTGCCTGCGCCTGTGAAGGAAACCCAAGCTCGTATGTCAAGTGCTGCAAGCTGAAGCCCAACGAAGGGTACAGATGCCTGTTTTTCAATGGGGCCTTGATCTGTCGTGATGATGCCCTTCGAGGCCGTTGCGTGGCCGCGACAATCTCAGTGCTGTACTTGACGGAGGAGCTGCCACTTGTGCCGATGCCGGTGGCGATGGCCGGGCTGTACGATCCCTAAGCTAAACCCTAAATTCCAAACCCCTTAGCCCTAAACCCCTAAACCCTACACCCCTAAACCCTAAACGCCTAACCCCTATAACCCCTAAAGCCCTAACCCCTATACGCCCTAAACCCCTATAAGCCCGAAACCCTAAACCCGTAAATTTCCCATCAAGGTCCTCTTACGAAGGGTAGGCGCGAGCCCGACCTTCGAGATCAGTCTGAGCAAGTCCTGTGACACTAAACCCTCCCGGAGACTCCAGTACCCAGACCCTAGGGTTTAGGGGTTTGGGTTTAGGGTTTAGGGTTTAGGGTTTAGGGTTTAGGGCGGGAGGATCCAAAAAGTAGATCCCTTAATGTGGGTTCCTATAAAGTACCCTTAGTAGTATCGGGCCCCAAATTAGGGGATCTACTTTCTAGATCCTTTGGGGGGTCTGGGAATAGAGCTCTAAGGGATCGGTGATTCAGGATTAAGGATTCCTATTTTGGGTCTATAGGGTTTTCAGAGATTCCAATAATAGAGGTATAAGCGATCGATGAATAAGAGCTCCTATGAGGGATCTGTAGGGTTTCCAGAGACTCCAAAATCCCTTGATTAAGGAATATGACTTAAATAGTCATAGTAGGCATCCTACTATAAGTTAGTTAAGGCTAACTAAGGGATATTGGAGTCTCTGAAATGGACCCTCAACAGAACCCTGAAGAGAGCTCAAGGACCCCCAAACCCTTGTTCAAGCACTTTGCCTTCCCAGAGGCTCCAAACACCCTTATACAATTCAGGCAGAAGGACCTTACTATGACGTACCTGGGGATCCAAAAACCTACCGTTTGAAGGTTAGAGCCAGTAATCATGGGGTCATTAACTACTATTTTGCAGGGTTTGGGGCTACAAGTAATTCTAAACCCTAAACCCCTAAACCCCTAAACCCTAAACCCAGGAATATTCTTAATCAAGGGGTTCTGAAGTCTCTGTCTGAGTTCCAGGAGAAGGAAGACGACGGCTGGTTGGTGAGCATCTTTCACGCACTATGGGTTTCGCGTTTTAGGGGTTTGGGTTTAGCGTTTAGGTTCTAGGGTCTCTAAGATTTAGAGCTTAGCGTTTCTATCGTTTAGGGTTTAAGGTCCTGAAGACTTCAAAGGTTTATAGGGTTTAGGGTAGGTACTGTTTTGAGGGTTAGGCCCCATACTTGATTTAGGGGGCATCACCTACCATTTTGTAAGGTTTGGGGATACAGGTAGGTCTTCTGCAACTTGAGGGTTTTTGAGTTCAGTGTTTAGAGCTTAGTGTCTGTATCCTACAGGAAGCTCAGGGCTTAGGGTTCAGCATTTAAGGTATCGGGTTGGTGTGCGTATCTTCTTGGACTCTGTATAGTAGACTACGCAGCCTGAAATCTTGAATAATGCGGAACGTTTACTGTCTGGTTTGACCCTCGCCCTTGCCCACACCCCACTGTCCCATAGATGCTAAAGTTCCCTAAACTCTATCCAAACCCTGCAGCTTCCCAGAGACTCCAATATTAAATTGTAGTAGGACCCCTAATATGATCTAAGGAATATTCCTTAATTAAGGGGTATTGGAGTCTCTGGGTTCCCAATACCCTAACCTACCCTATTTAACCTGTCCTGTCCCTAAACTCTTCAGACCTTCCCTGCACCCTAAACCCCTCAAGCCCCAACACCTCTGACATATATGGGACGTAGTGTGACATAGGGGACGTAGCTAGAACAGGGCTCCCTTTAAGGGCTTAAGTGCTTCTCTATAAGGGCAATTGTAAGGGATACTATGAGGGTGTAGTATAGGGGCCTTGATCATTCGGACAGGGTTCCTAGGATGCCCAGTAGTGCCCTTATTCCCTTTTGTAGTCCTAGGTTCCTTATAAAGTTACCCAATACCAAAAAGAGAGGCCTTTTTATTCTTAGGTTACTGGGTATCCCAGGTTCTGAGGTATATGAAGTCATACAGGGACAGAGCGGCACCAGAATTACCACCCTCGGCCCGATGAGGCTCCTTTATGTATACCTTGGGATCCGAAAACCTACCGTTTCAAGGGTTCTACCCTCTAAGTAAGGGGTCATAACCTGCTACTTTGTAGGGTTTGGGGATACAGGTAGGGATCTTATGCGATAGGAATACTACCCGAAACCCTATTTAGAGGTTTGTGGGTTTCGGAACCAGATTATAAATGAGATGCCTATACCTGAAAGTAATTGTGACCCCAGTTCTGTATAGGCATCTTATGGGATAGGATTACTAGCCGAAGCCCTGTTTAGAGGTTCATGGGATTTCGTATCCAGGATAAACATTAAGATTACCATACGTGAAACTGATTATAACACAGCTCAACGTTCTTCTAGCTGTAACCATGACTATGTACTAGTAAGACCCATGATTCTCCAAGGTAATATAACCCTTATATAAACTAAACTGCGTGTTCGGTGTTTGACTTGTGTCGGCTTTGGAGTTTGGAGTTGGATGTAAGCCCCATGCCTTCGATATCCAATCGGAGGCTCATGGGATTTAGCAAGCACAATCATACATACCCTAATTGCGGTTATAAGGAATTCGAAGTGTGGCTAGCTTTTGAACAGTTCATAAACCCCAGTTACTAAGTCTCATGAAACTCCAAGCAACATCCCTAAACCCTAACCCTAGGCATCCAAGGACTCATATATCAAGGCTTTTGGGCCCAAAGACCATACTATATGAGGCTTTTGGGCTATTTTGATGCCCAGGGTAAACCCTAAACCCGACATTACAGGCATCGTGCATGACGGCGACGCTGGAGAGTGCCGGCTGGTACCTCCCCCAGCACGAGACGCCGATTCGTATAGGTAGTTTCAAGCCCTACTTAAAGGATCATGGGACTTAGTAATTGGGGTTATAATTAAGATAACTACAGTTATAATTACTTATAACCCCACTTAAGGTGCTTATAACCTTACTTACTAAGTCCCATGATCCTCCAAGTAGGGATCTAAGGACTCCTAGATTAAGGCTTTTGGGTTCAAAGACCATACTATATAAGGCTTTTACCCTAAACCCCAAACCCTAAACCCTAAATCCTAAACCCTAAACCCTTTTGGGCTATTTTGATCCCTAGAAAACGGCGCCTTCAAGGTCCCAAGGGCTCCTTTAAGGCTTTGAGGGCTCCCTCCTGTAAGGGTTGCTTTGAGCCCTCCTTTCAGGGCTCCTTTTGGGGGCTTAGGGTTTGGGGTTTAGGGTATAGGGTTTAGGGTTTTTAGGGTTTAGGGTTTAGGGTCTTCTTTCACGGCCCCTTTAAGGAGCTGTTGAGGATTCGTTTGAGGGCTCCTTTAGGGGCTTCTTCAGCACCTCCTTTACCCGGCTTAGGGTTTAAGTTTAGGGGTTTAGGGGTTTAGGGTTTAAGGGGTTTAGGGGTTTAAGGTTTTATGGGTTTAGGGTTTAGGGGACCTGCTCCTGTGAGGGTTTCGTTACAGGCTCCTTTAAGGGCTCCTTTAGGGCTCGTTTGAGGCTCCTCTAAGGCATTGGACAAGATGGATGAGTTGATAGGCACAGCAGTCAACCCGGCGAGAATGTTGAAAGAAGGAGCCCGGCTGTCGTGTCAGGAAGTCATCGACTATGACTGCGGTTCGTCGGATCCGATCCGGAATGGAGCACGAATGAATACCCCATATAAGTATATAAGTACGCAATGCACCAGAGCCGCAGCAGTACCTTCCGAATAGTAAACCCTGTAACGGCATATGAAAACTCTAGAGAGCCTCCATAAAGCTTAGGACGCACACCCGAAACCCTACAGTCTGTACAGTCTCAAACCCCAAGCCCCAGCTCCCAAACCCTAAACTTCAACACCCTACACACCTAGACCACCAAACCCCGTACACACTTTTCCTTAGAACCGTAAAGCTTTGAACCCCTAAGCCCCTAAATCGCTGGCAACTTACAATGCATTTTGCATCAGAGCATCGTAAAACGACTTGAAGGCACATAGAACCCCTTAAGGAGTCAACTATTGATAACAGCTTTCGCAACGCTAAAAAAACCTTGACATAGCACTGAAAGAGAGCCCTTCTCAAGTAGAAAGGCCTTTCAAAAAAACAGCATACCCCCTAAACCCTAAACCAGAAATCCCACACGCCTTAATCTCTAGACCCTAAAACTCGAACCCTAAAACCCCAACTGCTAAACCCTAAACCCTCCTTCTCGAGGTCCTCCTGGACGCGCGCCGCGTGGACGAAGGTCCTGTGGCCCAGCTCCGTGTCGGGGATCTGAGCCCTTGGGGTGCCTCGGAGCAATGTTTTGTTGCTGAAAACACAAGGATACAGATTTTATGTAACTGTTTATGTTTCTATGTTTGTATCTATATATGTATCTATATCTGTATCTATGTCCATATCCGGCCCCGTATCATATCTATACCTATATCCATTATTTGCCATCTACATCTGTATCTATAGTTATAGCTATTGCTATGGCTCTGTCTTTGTCTATATCTAAATCCGTGTCTATATCTGTATCTAATTGCATACCTCTGTCTTTAGCTATGTCTATGCCTTTATCTATGACTACAGCATTTCGGTATCTATGTCTATGCCTTTACCCATGACTTCGTCCATATCTCCATCTATGTCCACATCTGTATCTATCTCTGTACCTTTATCTATATTACTATATCTGTTTCTGTATCTGTATCTATACCTGTATCTATATCTTGTCTCTTATCCGCAACCTCTACTCGCTACCCTTTACTTTGTAATCTCTACTGTCTACCGTCGAAACTTTAATCTCTAATCGCTAACCTCGAACCTCCAATCTCCATATGTTATCTTTATCCGCTTAGGGTTTAGGGTTTAGGGTTTAGGGTTTAGGGTTTAGGGTGTGTCTTCGTCTTCATCTTTATCTATGTCTAGATGTACATGTATACCTATATCCGCATTTGTACATATACGTCTTTCTGCACCTACTTCTGTACCTATGCCCGTATCTATATCTCTATCTACAGCTGTTTCTTTATCTGTATCTCCATCTATATCTGTATCTGAATGCATACCTATGTTGGCATTTGTGCCTATGTATCTGTACTTATACACATTGTAGACACATACGAGTTGTTGTGTTCTCGTTCGCACAAGTTGCCTCTGTATATACACATATGTATGCAGATAGTCAGAGAGGGGAGAGAGAGAGAGAGAGAGAGAGAGAGAGAAAGAGAGAGAGAGAGAGAGAGAGAGAGACAGACAGAGAGAGAGAGAGAGAGACAGAACAAAGACACGTGTTGTTTTCTTTTTTGTCTTTTCCCAAGCCCTGACCCCGCGAATCCTTGCAACTTTAACAACCGAAACAGTACAACTCCAAACTTAGAACTTGGACCGAGCCGGGATAAATCTTGCATAGGGGCCAGAAAAATCAATGCCAGTGTCTCCTTGCGTTGTCCTTAACTATGGTATACTGTACCCCAAGCCTTACTTGGAGGTTCATGGGACTTAGTAAGTACAGTTATAAGTACCTTAACTGGGGTTATAACTAGATATAAGTATAGTACCTTAATTATAACCCTAGTTACTCAGTCCCATGAACCTCTAAGTACCCCAGAGGATATGGCCCCGATGTTCGAAATCTACTCCCGCTATGACTCAACATGAAAGCCAAGGTGTGCACTCTTGCTGGGCTCCGGGAGCGTAGTCTGCCGAAGCGGGCAGATCTCGATCGCTATGCATTCCGTTGTTCAGACGGGGTCCCACTGAAGGATCTTTAGGGAGTTAGGGTTTAGTATAAGCATCTCGCAGCAAGTGAAGAAGGACACACTTCCTTTGCCAATGGTCTGTTACGGCCTTGAAACGGTTGTCGCAGTATTTGATAGGATTTGATAAGGGCTTTCTGACGATGGTCGGAGTTATTGGTAAGTAACTCGATTCCGGTTATTCCTCGGTGGTCTCCGTGTACTGTTGTTGTCGAAGGTGCCATTTAGCCAAATATCCTTTCGGGTCGCCACACGAAGAGAAGCAATGAAAGCAAAGATATCTTCCGGGTTTCAACCCCTAAACCCTAAACCCTAAACCCTGAAACCCTTTCGGCCCATATTAAACCATCACATACAGAACCCTCGGGACCGAAAGGACCCCCTAAACAGATCCTTAACACGAACCCCTAAAGGAAACCCTGAAGGAAACCCCTAAAGGATCCCGGATCCCTTGAAGGCAAGCCTTAAAGGAAGCCGCTAAAAGAACCCCTAAAACGGAAGCCCTAAAGGATCCCTTCAGGGATCCCTTAAAGGGAAGCCCGAAGGGATCCCTTAAAGGAGCCGCAAAAGAGACGGCCTCTTAGCTTACGTGGAGCAAGTCGAAGAAGCGTTCGGCTTCCGCCGGCTCGGTGAAGTCGAAAATGTCTGGCTTTGGGTCTTTTTTGGCTTAATAGTGGGTATGTAGGGTATAATCATAGAGGGTAGTTTCGGGGTGCTGGTAGGCTGCCACCCTTAGTTTTGGGTGTAGTTTAGGGCTTAGAGGGTTAGGATCTAGGAGAAGGGGGGGTCAATTTTTCAGGGTTAGGGGGAGGGTGGAGTAAGGCTGAAACTTAGTGTTTTCACGTAGGGACGCTTAAGCTAGCTTTAGCACGCCCGCTGTCGCTTTAGAATTCGGCGAATACTCTGGTCACCAGTCCCTGTCTTGTAGATTGTAGCAGAACAGTCGAAGAGTCACCTGAAACCCTAAACCCTAATAAACAAAGCCGCAACCTGCCTTCAGGAGCCGGCTGTGTGTAATGTAGGAACCTGATTAAGAATCCTTGGGCCTTTGTTAGGGTTCCTAGTATGAATCCTACTATTTTGGGGTTATCGGCCCAGGGTTTCTTAATCAGGTTTCTACATTAGTTAGTAAGGCTCTAGCGTGCTCGGTTGGAGTCATAAGTAATTGTAAGTGCGGTTACCTTCAGTCTCATACTAGTTACTATAAGGATCCTTTAGTTCTTACATCAAGAGTGGGGCCTCGATCCTGTCCTCAGCAGCTTCAACAGGCGTCATCATAAAGTCTAGTTTTGGGCGTCTGCCACGTGTTTGTGCCATTATTGTGTCAAGCCCAGATCCTAAACCCCCAACCCTAAACCCTCAACCCTAAATCCTAAACCCTCAACCCTAAACCCTAAATCCTAAACCCCAAACCCTAAACCCTCAACCCTAAATCCTAAACCCTCAACCCTAAACCCTAAATCCTAAACCCCAAACCGTAAACCATCAACCCTAGACCCTAAGCCGGGAGTCCGAGCTTGTGTCTCTTTGGTCTGGGCCTTGGGGGAGTCTGAAATCGGATGTTGCAGACTGCACTTCACAAAGGCATGGCATCCTCATTTGTAGGCTGCATGCAGCCTCAGGTAGCAATTTTCGTCATATCGAAGTCGGCTACTTGCGTCGTAGACACCGCCCATACACTTGATTTGCTCGCTGTACGAAGGCATCGTAGCATGGCTGTGGTGCTAGACGGCTAGAAGCCACACCCGCAGGCTCAAATTGGTGTGCGGCAGTGTAACATGCGGCAGCACGTAGCGGTGCATACGCTCTACAAGGAAGAGAACAGCACACGCAACAAAAAGCAAGAAGCAACTATTAAAACGAGTATGTATGTATATATATATATATATATATATATATATATATTATATAGGTAAAGAAGGCATTATAACTCTAAGCCCTAAACCTAAACTATAAGGCTTTGAGGGGACATGCTTACAAACTAATCCGACCTCGGCATGTCGGGTCTTTCGAACGTCTTTGTCGGTTTCTGATCATGTTGCAACTTGGTTGGGGTAGTTTCCGGGGTTTGAGGTTTAGGGTTTCTGGATGTCCGTTTTTGTTGCCCGTGTTGCGCAACAGGATGTACTCGCTGACCAAACGAGGTATTCGTACAGGCAACTCAAACACTGAACTTTGTTTCAGAACCCCCCAGAACGCCTAAATCTAGGCCCAGCTTTTCGGGATGTCCATCGACTTCCTGATTAGGCGTCCCATGCGGGATTCTGGAGTAAGATACTGTGGTATTCCAACAGCCTTTGTCGACCCGAGATTCTTCTGTAAACTGTATTTCTAGAACACAAGCCCTACGCTACAATTCCGTCGGCTTTTGTAAAAGAGCCCCACGCAATCCAGGCAAACATTAAACTTTGAGACCCTCAATCTGCAACCCCTAAACTCGATATGAACCCTAAACCCCAAGACCCTAAGCTCTAAACTTGAGAACAACATGGGGAAGAGTCAGAGGCTTAAGTGCGAATATTTACAAAGCATGAAAAGCCGCGCCGCTCAAAGGTTCATGGTGCTTAGTATTAAGGAGTCGCCCGTGAAGTACCATGCTCCTGCAAGTACACCCTTAAACCCGACCCCCCAAAGCCTGAACCTTTGAACCCAACACCCAAAACCCTAAACCCCTAAACCCCAAACCATAAACATTCCTAGGTTACTGGGCATCCTACATGTAGTATGTATATATAATAGGGTTCCATTGACGGTTCCCTTAACGGCTTCTATAGAGCTTGCTGTAAGGGTTTTATTTATAGTGTTCGTAATGCTTAGAATAGGGTCTTGGTATGTGACAGTACGAGCAGGCACCCTCCGGAATAGCATTACCAAGTGTTCACGCGTCTATATCTAGAAGTTCCCTAAACCCTGAGCCGCAAGACCTAAACCCCAAACCCCAAACCCTAAACCCTAAACCCCAAACCCTAAACCCCAAACCCCAAACCCTAAACCCCAAACCCCAAATCCTGAACCCTGAACCCTTAGCTCTAAGCTACTATTTGCTTAAGAACCCCCAAAAAATAAAAAATATATTCCTTATAGGGATAATATAGGGATTATCATTTTTTATTTTTTGGGGGTTCTTAAGCAAATAGTAGTAAGCCCTAAGCCCCTAGACCTCTTTGCCCAGGCCGGGACAGAGGCCGCGATTCAGAAGCTCAAGGCCGATCCTGCTGCGTTTTTTTTTTTCATGGATCCGTTAACTTGGCGTTTTTTTCTGGTTGGCTCTTCGGACTTGAACTTTTTGGGCTTCTGTATGAACTATAATAAGGAGGCTACAATTTTGACTTTTAGGAGGGGTTCAGAAGTCAGCCAAGTTAAAAGGATCCTGTTTAAAACTAGGATGCCCAGTAGTACCCTTATTCCCTTTTTGTAGTCCTAGGTTCCTTATAAAGTTACCCAATACCAGAAAGAGAGGCCTTTTTATTCTTAGGTTACTGGATCTCCTAGAAAAGGCAGCATCCGGGTTTCGGGTTCCCTAAAGGGGTTCCTTTAACGGTACTAGTATGAGGCTTATTGGCTGTAGACTCAACTTTTCAACTTTCGGAGTTCTTCTAAGGTAGTCGTTTCTCTGAAAGTTTCAACTTTTATTTCCTTTTGGGTTTTGGGCCAGTGAGAAGGGTCCCTTTGAGGGTTCTGTAAGGGTTCTAATTGCATACGGCTGAGCAGTACCTTTTGGCCCTTTTTATTTTTTATTGTATGGTTCCCTTCTTCGAACCGAATATGAGGACAAAGGGTACCCTCTTTTTAGGGGTCACCCAGGAACATAGAAATGAACCCTTAAATTAACCCTCAAAGAAGCCTCTGAGTGTATTATTTCCATGTGGGTACTTTCTCCAGGTCAGGGTCCGTTTTAGGGTCACAAAAAAACTACCGCACCCTTGCAAAAGGACCCTGAAAGGGACCCGGATTTAGAGAACTGCCAATGTGTCTGTGACATTAGTAGACTTTTGTGTTCGTTTTGAAGTGGTTTGGGGTTTCAGGTTCAGGCAGTGTTGGACGGGGCTCGGTTTGAAATCTTAAACCCCGAATCCTAAACCACAAGCCCTAAATCGTGAATACTAAACCCAAAACCCTCAAAGCCCTAAGCCCAAGCAAACAGTCTTAAACACCAAATCCTTAATCCTAAACCCTCAAGCTTGGATCAGGGGACGGCTGAGAAAGCTGGAGCTATGCAGGCGCGGCTGCCGGGAGCCCAGTCATACTGGGTTTGCCAGGGTCTAGCGTTTTGGAATGGAGCCTCTAAATATTACAAACCTTCTAAACCCGTAAGCCCCTAAACCCCTAAACCCCCAAACCCCTAAACCCCCAACCCCTAAACCTTAAACCCCTAAACCCTAAACCCTAAACCATTAACATACATGTATATGAGTTATATGAACTTTTATGGAGCCTCTCAGCCTCTAGTTCCCAAAACCCCAAGCCCTCACCCTTCTCAGTTCCTCTTGTAGAACCCTTCAAGGAACCCTTTTTGAACTCCTAAGGGAACCCTTCTAGCAGCCTTTAAGGAACCCCTAGAAACCCCACGGAAGTGCGGTGCGAACAAGGCTGAAGACCCTAAACCCCAAACCCTGCGAACAAGGCTGAAGACCCTAAACCCTAAACTGTGCGAGCAAGGTTGAAGACCCTAAACCCTAAACCCTAAACCGTGCGAGCAAGGCTGAAGACCCCAAACCTTAAACCGTGTGAGCAAGGCTGAAGACTTCTGGTGGTTTTCACACAGACCTCATGAAGCCGCTCGGCGGGGTTTCGCACGAACCGTACAGCAGAAGCCCAAAAGTTGGAAACCCCATAGCCTCAATCCTTAAGAGTAATGTATAGGGAATGCCAGCACCATTTGGCCTGAATCCGGTTTCCAACTTTATGGGGTGTACTGCAAACCCAGATCCCTAAACCCCGA